CAATTCTTTATATGTTGGTCTACATTTCGGTATTTAACTGATGTGGATTAGATCCCTTAACAACTATGTGGTGTAATCTTTTGTTCTTTACTGTTGAAGGAAAAGGACAATGCCTGGGAGAATATTGATATTAATTAGCGGGAAGGAAGGCTATCACAAGTAAATCTGATTTGAATATTACAAATTCTCGCTATGGATGATTGATGTATTTGCATGCTCACAAGGTGTCAAAGAATCTGCTAAGCAAATTCAGGAAGAACAATAGGATTATGGAAATGAAGAGCTTAAAGACTTAATCTCTAACTATTAAACAGAGAATTAGTTTTTGCCGGTATACTACAATTCTTTAAAAAATTCGCTTTTCACATATTTGATTAGATTTTTGAGCAATTAATTTTTCTTGCAGGGGAATACCTTTTGTGGCACTCAGAATCACTTCAGATGGTAATAAGAGATAATCTCTTCTTTTAATCTCTTTGGCGTTCTATGTACTGTGTGTATTATTGAAATGAAACATCAAATAATTTCTATTGTATCTTACCCTTGTTTTGAATTTAGAGGTTTGTTCTATTTCATTAACTGATGATGATATTCTTCGAATCCCATCTTTTTGGACATTGATTCTCTACTACGTGAGCATTTTACAATACTTGACCATTTTGAAACATGCTGATCTAATACAGATCACCTCAAAAGGGACTCGAGAACTCATATATTGCGAGTTGATTATAGTTCATTCATCAATCAAGAAATTGTAAAATATATGAATCTTTTATAAACATTACTGCCTTGCAGAATTCAAATTGTGTTTGAAATATATTTTAATCAGTAAAATTAAGGTCAAAGATGATTTATAAATTGATTTTCAAATTATTACGATCTATTTGAGGGTTAAAATTTTCTTACTTTTTTATATCAGAGGGATGGATTTTTTTGCATCTATCCATCAATATTATGGCATATGGAAATAGTCCAAACATCTTTATGCTGAACAAAAACAAAATCTTCAGGATTTCTAGTCCAAATAACAATCTTTATGCTTAACATGATTTCTTCTATCATATTTAGATTTCCCAACTAATAAATTTCAACCACAAGAAGAAAAAACAGGCTATTGTCCAATAGATTTTTCATATGGTAAAGAAGAAAAACATGTGGGTAATTACATTTTCAGATAGCTTTTACAGGGAACGAGAATAAGTTGTGTTAAATTTCCTTGTTGATAATTTTCTGGCGTATTGAGTTTTCTGAGAACAGAACAGAATATGTTAGACTCGTTGGCCCCTTTTATCCTTATTCAGCTCCCACTGATCTTTGTAATTTCTAGAACTGATCGAGCCCCAGTATGTGAGTTCATTCGAGTCAAATTTAGCACCTCCCAACATTGGTACTGTGTTCATTCTTTAAATAAAATTCTCTTCCTTAAACGATTTTGTCGAAAAATAGATTTTAATTTCGTGGGTGATAAATACTCCCCTGTTGTCTCTTCTGGTCGAGAAAAAAGAGAAAAATGGAACACGAAGAGGCAGAGGCAGAGGCAGAGAGAAAGGTGCAAATTCTGCTAGACTTCTTACACAGCTTAAGGGAAAAATGTTAATGAGCTCAACGAGGTTAGCAATAAGATCATTGAAAGAGATCACGATATCGAATTATGATCACTTGATTATGACATAGCTGTCTGCTATTTATATATGGTAATGCTTACAGTTTCTTTTTTCTCTGAACTTATTTGTTTGGGGGTTACTTGAGAGTAAAACTTTCTGAACTTCCTTTGTTTTATTGTGGTTTTTAGGCATTGGATTATGGTTACGGGTGTATGTTTATGTTGCAGGGATTGGGCTGTGAAGATAAGAAGCCTGTGCAGGTGTGGTGATTATGGTGAAGGAAGTCGGTGTGGGCAAATGGATATACGTTCTGTTGGTATACTCTGCAGTAAATGAAGAGGATGTGACGATGCTTTCTTGAAAATTTGTTTTGGACAAGGGCAAATTTCGACCCGTATCTTGGTGTGGCAACCTGGACAATCGGGCAGTAGTAGTCGTCGTCTTTATTGCTCATACAACCAGTGATATGCAGCGATGGCAAGGCTGATTAGTTCCTGATTGTCGAATGAAATGTGTATATTTGAGCCTATAATTCATTTCTTAGAGACCGTGAGAGAAATTTACCCACATTCTGCACTACCACTTGTTCATTATATACAAGCAAACACTCTTTTTTTTTTATTCCCCGAAAATGAGACCCCTCAACCCCCCCCCCCCCCCCCCCCCCCCAAAAATGAGACCCCTCATTTGCTTTTAAAAAATGGAGAGCTCTCTGATATGTGCTTCTCGTTTTATTCTTTAAAGAATTAAGTGTTCGTTCATACCAAATGCAGGTTAAATAACATTTTGTTTTATATCTTCTTTCATCTTCCCGGATTTTCGGTTGATTTTGTGGCAAAAATTCACTGTTTAATTTTTGTTATTTTAAGTAGATTACAATGATGTTGGTTCAGTTGGAAGAAATTATTCTACTTTAGATGCCCTTACTTCTGTGGTTAATTTTCTTATCCCTTTACAGGACATTGAAGTTTGCTTTCATGTTTCTCGATTGCTACCATTGAATTTTATTGTGAAATTTGGAGAAGAATTCCAACTGTTCAATTTTGTTTATTGACTGGATTGGAAGACAGAGAATTTTCTTCCAAGAATCTAATTCAGTTTCAAATGAAAGTTCTTCAATTGTTTTCCTAAGGCCTAGAGATAAAACAAGATAATGAATTAAGCAGATAGACCTCTATAATTAGCAGTTACTAATTTGATTCTCACCTACTTGAAAATGATCCTTGTTCCAGGTTGCAGTACTCTAGGTTTTGAATCTTGGCGTATAGAATATTTACTTAATACCTCAATCTGGAATGTCTTTGTGGATAATAAATTCTTGAACAAGGGTTAAATTGTACTAAAAATTGCTACTAAAAATCATACAAAAGCATATTCTTCATAAATGTCGAAATGGATATTTTAAAAAACTTTAATAATCAGTACCGAAAATCCAAAACAAACCTTAATCGATATCATAAGATACTTATAAAGCAGAGTATTGAGTCGTTGGGTGGGCTGGTAGCCTATAAATTGTCCGGGAACAATTAGAAATGTTGCGTACACTTTTTTCTTTCTTCTCTTTCATTGGATTAGGTTATAACTGTAAATTTCTTGCGATGCGCTAACTTTAAACTATATTGTAATAAGATGTATATAAAATTCATTTTCCATATTTCAATATGTGAAATTGATAAAGTATAATATCGAGGTCTATCACATTTTCTAAATGTGTACACAAGCTTAAAGTTAACAAGATGCACAAGTTTAAAGTTGATTTTTCAACTCTCAGCCCTTATGAGTGAGAGCCTTGTTGCTGATTTTGAAATCACTTAAACACGGTAGGAAGATAAGAAATTAAAAACTGAATTTGAAGACAGAATAGAAATGGCTCAATGATGTTTATTCAAGTTGTTTGTTTTGGAATATAAGTAGTGGATGTCGAATGTGGAATTCGTGCAACTTATGGATTAGAGGGAGGAGAAAAACTATGATTAAATTTGTATATCAAAATATGCTAATATTGAAAAAGTCTTATGACCCATTTTTTCTGTAAAATACTTACAAAAGTACGAGCTGGATTGAGCTTGTGGCTTTATGTAGTAAGCTAATTAATGTTGTGTTGTACATGGGACTGAAAATTGTGTGCCAGAATAAGGTAAGATATCATGAATCCAAGTACTTCAACTTCTAAAAAAAAAAAAGATGGTATGTATCGCATCCTTGTTAAACTCAACTCTCTATACCTGACTTTAACAAATAGAATATTTCTCGCCTGAATAGTCGAAGTTAGGAGGTAAAGTGGTATGTAAAACCTATACAGCAGGTCACAAAGGGATAACTTTACAACATTTCATCATTGCTTTTCCAGGTACAAAAATTTAGAGCATACAACACTAAAAAAAATCTGTTTTTGCTCAAGTAATACTTCTCGAAAATTATTTTCATTCCCAAAAGTTAATAAGTTCATTTGCGGTTGGGTATTAAGTAACTCAATAAATAACTTCAACTAAGAACTGAATCGTTTCTTACATTGAAACTCCTTTTCAAAACTATTAATTCAATTGATCAACAGCACAATAGTTTGTGTCGCCCATCCAAATTCTTTACGTGGAACAACAATCCTTAAATCCTGTAAAGTTGCCCCTTTGTCTATCAGCTATTGCACAAACAACTAGACCTTCGACTATTCTAACGAGAGACATTCGACTTGTAAAAGTTAGATACTAAGAGTTGAGTTTAATAAAAATGTGATACAGTTCATCTTTTTGTTTTTATTTTCAGAAAAATTTTGTTTCTACAGATCAAAAACTTCTTTCACTACCTATATTAGTAATACTTCGTTTGTACTATAGGCATCAATATTAACGAATGTACCAAAACTAACATCAAATCATTTTCGTCTACATGATAAGTATTTCGATTTTTATCAGTCTGTATATGGGTTATACACCAGTCTTCATGTTCAATTACGTGTTCATTGTGCTAATTAGAAATAAAATTTTAACCAATTTGCATTTCTAATTTTTCATACAAGATTCAATGTGAAGTACTTCCTCCAAAGACTATTTCGTTGTACGAAAAACATACAATTACATACAAAGGGTATTATTTTTACATATACTTTCACAAAATATGCACAAAAGCTTCACAAAATATGCATAGAATTCTACAACAAAAAAGAAGTAACACTCAAAAGGTAACATTCTTTAATGGAATGTTGCTAAAGGAGGTTATGACAACATTCTAACAAGTGAATGTTGCGATTGGTTAACTTTATTGAGTTTTAGCAACATTCCTTTAAAGAATGTCGCTAATGCCACTTTTTGCAACGTTCATTGAACAACGTTGCAATTCTCATTTGAACGTTGCGATAAGTCCAATTTTAGCAACTTTTAGGTGATCATTGCAAAACACTTCAAGCTTTGCGAAAAATTCCCTTTTAGCAACATTCATTTGAACGTTGCTAAAAGGAAAACTTAAATCACCCAACCCAAACCAAAAAGAAGAACTCCTCAAAATGATCTTCAGCCCTAGTTTTTCCTTCTCTGCTCGTCTCTGCCTCTCATTTTTGGACAGTAATTCAAAATGCCACAGCAAGAGGCGAAAGAAAATGGGGAAATACAATCAATACCGCATAAATCTTAAGCCCTCCGACATGAGGCCGCTTGTGTTGCCAAACGAAATTTCAATTTTGGCGACTATTCAGGTAAGTTAATGCTATGTTAATCGCAGGTTTTTTAAGTTAAAGCCGACTTTTCTAGTTTCATGATTCCTGGTTTGATCGCATTATTGGATTTTTGATCTGGGATTTGTTGCCTTCTGATTTTCTTGGCATATGCATTATGTAATCAGTACATTCTTTAATAAAATTGTTGCTTTTCTTCAGTTCTTGTATCCATAGTAGTAGTTCGTACTGGTTGGACGTTAAACATGAAGTTGCTTAAGACTTTAGGGAAAAGAATAAAGAATGCTCAAAAGATGTTTGTTGCTTGGTCTAGGAAAGATGAAATATGACTGTAAAGAATTCCTGCAATTGTTGTATGGTCTTTTCCTTCTCTTGACTCTCTGGCCTGAAAAAATTACTTTATAATAGGCTTGGAAATCACTTAAAGCATATCAAAGGAATAATGGAATTTCCCGCATTAATTAATTGAGTACATTTTGCAGACATTATCAATTTCTTTCGTTTTCCAATATTCTGGTCATTCATTTTTGCTGAACTGATTCAGGAGGGCAAGGGTCACAAAGCAATAAAATTTTCATATGTACTATGTGTTTCTTTAAATAGATAACCACTGTGAAGTATGCAGAAGTGGTAAAACTGATATAAGAATAAATGGGCAAGAAAGTATTTATTTTTTTCATTTTTTATATATATTCAAGAATTTGATGTTATCTCAAATCAAATTCTGTAAAATTGTACTTATGTCTTCCGTATATAGTTCTTGAAATTCTGAAACAGATTTTTTCTTGCAATTTTGAAGTCCGCTGGGCTCTATTCAAGTGCCAAAATCTTTATCCAATGTTATGATTTGTGCTGTACATTTCCGTGCTGGATTAGGCATTATGTATTTTCTTTATACGTTTTCATAAATAGGAAAACAGTTGCTTTTTGCTTGCATCTTAGTCACTGGTAGGGTCAAGGATGTGGAATCAATTTAAGATTACGAAGATGAAGATGGTTTGAGTTTGAGAACCTTGTTTTTTATTTAAATCTAACATGTGTACTGGATTTGTTTTGGGACAATTCCTTGACGAACAGTGAGATCACTGAAGGAGGAACTGCAGCTTCTTCAGGAGCATGGATCATATGTTGGGAAAGTTGTCAAAGTTATGGGAAAATCAAAGGTCCTTGTCAAGGTCAGTGATAATTTTTGCTGTTAAGCTGAGTGCTTGTAATGATTGGGGAATAAATGATATTGAATGGTAGCGACCTTTTTCTTTTTATGTCTATGAAGGGGATCAAAGGATTTCACCCCTCCATTTTCGTTGAGTATTAACATATAGGTCTATCTATTGTTAAGTCTTTGAATTAATTCCCTTTGTTAGGCTGTGTCAGCTCGTAATCTTTGTCTCAAATCTATTATGGCACACACTATGTTGGGATTTTGCATCAATTTTTCTATTCTTTTCCGAGAGTAGACTGACAATTATAGCTGAAATTAAGTGAGATAATTGTTGATCTATCCTTGTTAATTGACATTCGCATTTGAGTTATTTTTTTGTCCATTTCTTATCTTCATAGAAGCCATAATATAATATGGTTTGATCATTTCAACCAGTTCCACCCTTCGTAACTATGATGCAATGTATGCTCCCATTTATTTCACTGGGGAAAGAGAAGGAAGCTCAATAAATTAGAAGAAAAATGAGGACAAAATTTTTTAAAATCCTGTACTATTCGAAGCGTAGTTTCTAAGATCCAGATTAGAGATTCTTTTGGCTTGTAGGGGATGTTAGATGAAAATTATTTCTTGGGATAGAGACTTGTATCTGCCCATTTTCATATGAAGTAGATTTCTGCTATGGAAGTAAAAAATGACAAAGGCTTCTGAGGGGCTACATTTTCTTGAATTAAACAATTTTTTTGATATTGAATTAAACAATTGAAGAAGCCCTGAATACTTGATTTGATGGGGTTTCTGTGGGTTCAAGTCGTCTTGCATAGCGTCAGAATCATTTAAATGAGCATATACAAACAGGGAATGGTTTCACACTCCTTGTTTGTGCTGCTAAGTGAACGCAATTTTAAGCATCTCATTTGCTAATATCTATTTTCTGAATGGATTGGTGTTCGAACATGTCTGAAGAGGGTGGCTGTCATGTGGGGAAGAGGGATGATGTTAATGGGTGTATAGAAATATGCATATGAGCTGTCCCTGACTTTTTGTTTACAGTTACACAAGGGGGAGAAGGGATGCATTAGTGATGCTGGTTATAAATTACGATGTTACGCCTCTAAATGTTGTAGTGGTTTCTTATATCCATCACCTAATTTTTAGATTAATGAAATGAATTTTTTACTTAATGCTTCTTGAGTTCATTGAATGAGTGTGTTTTGCCATCTAAGACCTGCTAATCCAAATGAAGAAAACGTGTAATGTTTAATCTGAAAGCTTAGATATGTTTTATGCATGGTACATTCTTGATTTTTTTCTACTTCTGTTTTTATAGTTTTTTCCCCATGAAAGCACAAGTATTACAGTTTATAAAATGAAGCGAGTGTTAATTGGTGATTTATCTTATTAATAAGTTCAAGTTATTTCTGAAAATATGATTCTATCTTTCACGTATATAGGAATTACTCGATCCCTTTCTGTCTATCACCTTTGGTCTGTCTTTATCATGATTCAGAAGAAAATCAACTTGATATATTCCTGGTTTGTAGATTCGAAACTTGTTATCAGATTGCTTTGGCCATAAAGGACGGAGTGGAGGATATTCAAAAGGCGGGCATTACTGTTATTTGAAACCTGTTACCATTTCTTTTGGTTTTTTTTTTGTTTTTTTTTTGTTTTTTGTTTTTTGTTTTTTGTTTTTTGTTTTTTATTTTTTTTGTTTTTTATTTTTTTTGGGAAATCTATTGGTTTTTAGGCGCTTCAAAATTTTGGATCTAAATTTTGTATGCATATTTTGTCACATTTTGGAATACAATTATTAATGACTATTGGAGTTCTTTGATATTGTCATCTTTTATCTTATTTTGTGGTTTATTTGTGCAAATTACTATACAAATACAAAAAATGCAAAATTTTTAAAAATATGTGCAAAATAACATATGGCAACAATCAAAAAATGTTGCAAAAAATAAGGATATAAGTATGGATAAAAATAATAATAAAAAAATAAAAAAAATCGCAATGTTCTGTAAATGTTGCGAAAGGCTTTTTAGCAACATTCAGAAAATGCTGCGAAAAGGTTATTCGCAACGTTTGGTGAACGTTGCTAAAAAGTTTTTCGCAACATTCATCGAACGTTGCAAAATACTTTTTAGCAACGTTCGTCGAACGCCGCGAAATGAATGTTGCAAAATACTTTTTAGCAACATTCGCCGAACGCCGCGAAAGGGTTTTGCAACACTCGTCAAATGCTGCGAAGGTAGCGTTCTTTGAAGCCTTTTGTACGGCCAAAGAACATTATCGTATCTAAAGACTCTACGGCAACACTACATCCCACAACATACGCGCGAACGCTGCAAAAAGGAGATTGGCAGGGTTTTTTAACCGCTGCAAAAGGCTATTTTTGGTGTAGTGAGATCGAAGTTCTCATGGGTACAATAATCAAATCATTGACATTGAAAGATGCATGATTGATTGAGAAAATGTAGAACTAAATAAGGTTTTCTATGCTCCGCCAATCTTGTCTCTATCCATGTGAACGACCTAATTATTGGTCTCATCAAAACTTTCATTCACATCTTTCGAATCACTACAATTGATGCAGCATCATTCCAATGCTTCCTCAACCAAAGGGTATTATTTTACATTCCAATCCTTCACATTCCAAAAACAAAGAAGATGAGAAAGATGAAGGTGCAAAGGCACTGCAGTGGCTAAATTCGACAATGAAAATTTTTTAATTATACAAAATGTTTAAGCACTGGGGCAATAATGCAATTTAGAAGTGTTTTTTTGGTCTTATTCCAGTTCGAAGTGCAACATGTAGCAGCAAATAGCTTTTAGGATTTGTAAATGACTTTTATAATATCACTTGCATTTTAAGTTACTCATGAAGTAGTTTATTCACCAAAACATTATCTGTGATTTGGCTCTTTAACTGTTCTACCTTTATCTTTTATTTTCAATTTGCAAGTAATGGATTCTTTTCGGTATATATCCGTGGTAGAGTTGAAGGAAAAAAGGGAATACATTTAAATCAATATCAACCATTCGTACAAAGAATAAAAAAATATACAAAGAAAATAGAGGAAATGTAATTCAATTGAATTCACATTTACAAATTTATTGCTCTCAAATTGACACACACTTATATTTAAGATTAATCAAGTAACATATGCGCCACGCCACAAGTTCACTCCACTAGTAGTCCAAACAAATGGAGAAAACTGAAAATAATTTTTCTTTTTCTAATCAACAGTCAGTTGACCTTTTTAAGTTCTCCTATAAAAATTGACTTGCTGAATATGAAAAATGATTTGGGCTATAAATTTAATTAAATAAAAATGCCGGGCATTTTAGGTGAAATTAAAATACGAATTTTCGAACTGATACTTCCACGCTTTGCTTGGATTCCAAGTATGAGAAATTTGGTCTGGCTTTGCTCCTTGGACAAGGACATGTTGGCCCTGTCCGAACAAGGGGTGCTTTGGCGCAGAAAAGCAACCAATAGCACCCTCGTTTTAAACGTGGACCTGTCCAAGAAGATTTATTGAATTCAATCAATTTCCAAAATCATTGATCAATATAATATAGTTTAATATAAATCAATTCAACTAAATAGTGCAGATTCCTTAAGGCCATAGAATTCATGAGTAAACAATTAAAAAGTAATAGTTTTTGCAATATTGCCGCGCTACACATATATAAATAAATAGAATAATGATACTATATCTAATGAAGTTACGTAATGATTTACATATGGATGAGGTGTCAAAAAGAGAGTAAAAATTTTTCTTTTTTATTTTGTTAAATAAATTCTGATTCAATCTTATCCTACCACATCATGTATATGTAGATTATTATGTAAATTATTGTATACATATAACACAATTGAAATAAAATATATTTGCTTGAATCACACATGTCCAATATTTAAGGAAAATTGCACCATTGGTCCTCAACTTATTGCATCTGCAATAATTTAGTCTTTTTTTTAAAGCAATTTAATCTCCGTCAATTCATTATAGAGATGACAAAAATGAAGAGCAGGGTCAAGGAAATGTGGGGTTAGAGCGATCCTCCCCGTTCGTGCCCCAGTTCCTAATTCGGGGAAGGTAAAGTTAGGGCCGGGTAAAGAAGAATCCTCATTTCTCGCTACATTTTCCAACATAAAAATTTAATTTAATTTTTATATAATTATTCCAGATTAAAAAAAATATTTATACAAATAATAAAGAACACGTTTGGGAAGTCTTTATAAACAAATAAAAGTTAATAAAGTCAAATTAGGTAATACTTGAGATCTTATGGAAGGTGTGGATAAAAAAAAATTTGACAAAAAAAGGTTTGTAATTTTCAGTGTTGTAAAAACGTCCCAAATATATAGTGTAAATTCGTCATGGGAATCGTTTTTGTAGTTCCTAAGTCGAGGCAAAATCTGTTGCCCTAGTAGCTCAATTAACTAGGAAATTCCTGCCATGAATTTCGGGGCGCCACGAGGATCGACGAGAAGGATTATGAATTAAATTACTTTGTCTGAATTTTTCTGACAAAATGGTTGACACCCTCTCACATGCGCATAGGTCCCACGTGATTAAAAAGTCCAAAAAAGAAGTGGGCCCTTTCCCATTGTGAGTGTCGGTCGGTCATTATGTCAAAAAAATTTAGGCAGCATGGCATGACTGGAGGGATTATAGCTATACAATTAGTACTTAGGGACAGAATCTGCTCAAATTTGCAACTTTCGCATGGCATATTTCAAAGCATGTTTGAATTTCATTAACTTGCTACTAAAGCAATAGGTTAGGGATCAATTCTGCAATTTTTCAATATTTTACCAAACCAAACAGAACTGCAATGATGATGATGAAGATCCATTAAAGTTCTTCAAGCATCGATGTATCAGCAACACCATTTTCTGAGTATCAACTACCTGTTAGCTCGCATTTACTCATTACCTTTTGGCCTACACTTGTGCTCTTTCAATGTGTAGTAAAGTTTCAAATATCAGTTTTATGCAGCTGCAAAGTTCTGTTTCACTTGAGATACTTGGCTGTTTCATGTACACTGCCACCAATATTTCTTGATATGAACAATTCAGATCCAATTGAAATACAAGGTCTCCTTCTCAATATTACGATTTTGAGACACGTACATTTCAGGGATGATAAATATTTGAGTGCATCCTGCCATCAGCAAGCAACTACTGATAAGGACTTCCTAAGAAATAATAACTTACAAAGTATTTCTATACTCTCAGTTCCTGATGAAATAGATGAGAAAATTTTGAGATGTTCACCCAACCTTTGTAGACTGAAAGGTAGGCTTAGATCTTCACTCAAACTATTTTTTCTACAGCCTTAAGAATCACTAATGCTATCACCTGACTACAAGAAAGCGGCACAATCATGTTCCAGTTTAATCATTTTGCCCTCAAATCTAAAAAATTTGACTCTTGTTAATAAACATGTGCCTCTGAAACAAATGGAGATAGTCGGGATATTGCAGTACCTTGAGGTTCTCACTTTAGAAATGGTTGCCTTTGAGGGAGGACAAAGGGACAAGAGAAGTTGAATTTCCACAACTTAAATTCTTGAAACTAGATGTAGTAAAGATTGCAGAATAGAATGCTTCAAGTGATAATTTCCCAAGACTTCAACGCCTAGTACTGCTATATTGCGACCGTTTGAAGATGATCCCTCTTGGTTTCGGATATATTTTTATAATACTTGACTATTCTGAAACATGCAAACTCTTGTAGAATGAGAAGTCCATCAAGCCCAGAAGATCCACAGCACTAGCATGAGTAACAGATCTGTTATGTGGCCCCATTTTCATCAGCAGCTGCTCCTTTAAGTCTAGATATGAAGAAGACCATTTCTGGTACAAAAGACTAGCTATCTACCGCAATTATAACAAATTAGTGTGATTTGTAATTTTTTCTCGTTTACTGAGTGTATAGAATTGGTTAGGCTAGAATATTCTTTTTGATAATACATATAATATATATTTAGCATAATAATACATATTTAGTTTCCTTATTATTTTAGATTCCTAATTTTGTAGGTTTCCTTGTAATATATAAACTAATTCGGTTTATTGTTTGCCCTAATTTTGGTGGCTCAATAATATGTCTTCTTTTTCATCTCTTAATTCTTCTTCTTCTTTGGTTGACCTATCAAATTAGTTTGTATTATTTTCATGGTGTCAAAGCCAGAACATGTGTTGAAGTTGATTCTTTCATCCTATCCACTCTTAAACAAATTTTTTTCATAAAAAACAATAGGAAACCTTAAATTTCTTTTGAGCCCCCACTAAAAATACACGATATCTTTCAAATGAAACCTCCGTTTCGGTGATTGGTGACATATTCAGATTCAGGACGATGAGACCTGGCACGTGTGGTACCACGCGTTTGATTTCAATGGCGTGTGAATGAAAATTGTAGCAGTCTGGGGCACGTGAAGGGTTTTTCGATGACGTGTTAAAAAGATAGTTTATTCCATGGCGAGTTTTTGATAGTTTGGTGGTATTGGTTTGGTTATACTTACATTGTACAGCATATTTTGGTGATCGTTCGTGTTGATATGTTAGTTATCGTTGATTTCTTGGAATTTAATGATTTCTTTTGATTGGTAGTAGTTTATTTGTTTATTTCATGATGGCAACTTAAAGAGATGATTTACTTCAATCTATTAGTGTCAGAATAAATGGTAAAAATTACTTGTATTGGAGTACTGTGATGAGAAATTTTATTTGTTTATTTCATGATGGAAACTTAAAGAGATAATTCACTTCAATACATTAGTGTCAGATTAAATGGTAAAAATTACTCATATTGGAGT